TATATATATATATATATATATATATATATATATATATATATATATATATATATGTATATATGTATATATGTGTGTGTGTGTACGTATACATTGAACTCTTGTTCATTTCAATCCGCTCTACGTCCTCATAAGAGATTGTGAAGGCAAGCTGGGACACTCTGTATAATCATGAATAATAATGTAATGATCGATGAGATTAATTATTAACGAAACTTTGATTTGATTTATTATACATTGATTAATAATTAATTTCATCAATCGAGTAAATTACTCGTCATTACACATGTGACGATTGATTAATTTCCATGATTCGATTATTTCGAGTCAAGTAAAATTTTCGTCGATTAATACTCAACGCTGGGTGGCAAAATTTTTCAATCGGCAAAGCGATCGTTAAACATCGAAAGGTTAAGATCGTTTAGAAGGTAAGGGAATTAGTAGAGATACACGTTTGCGCGTCAGGTCAGGTACTGTTTTCAGCATTCTCCCGGACACACGAAAGAGACAGGACAAGTCGTCGCGCAGCGCGGGATAACGTAGCGATGGGATTAAGCGTGATTCAAACGGTACCGATACTTTTTTCGCCGTGGCATCGATACGGAAGGTCAGTCGCAGCTACAAAGATCGCGACCTTTTCTTCCGTGGAATTAACCTCTCGCACTCCGCGCACTACCTCGTAGACAGAGCCGACCGCGAGTTATCTTAACGTGGGCAAAGCAAACGTGTAATTTCGCGATTATGGATTCGTTTGTTTAAAATGCTTGTGAAATCACGACCACTCACGGTGCGCGCTCGGTCTTCGAGAACGGTAATGTATAATAATTAATAAGCGGCAAGAGAGTTACGTATTTTAATCCATGTCGAGAAATGCACATTAAAATATTTTTAAAGCGCGATCTCTCTCTCTCTCTCTCTCTCTCTTCTCTCTAATATATATTCAACAGATTTAATTAATTCCACTAAATCAATACGCGCAAAATACACGGAGCTTTCGTACATCTCCCGATTACATTTTACGTAATAAACCGATTTCGCGATATTTATTACATCCCGACAAAATTACCACAGCCACGTTTCCACGATGTTAAATACGATTCGTGAATTTGCGCGGAATTGCAATTTCGGGAGAGTCGTCCATTTTTTTCGTAGCCGAAGTTGTTTTTCTCAGTTTACTTCGAGGCGCCGCGTGTTAGTTGCCGAGTGTGGAATTAACGACGAGCGATTAAACGCTGTACGACGCGCGAGCGCGACTCGATTATTTATTAGATCGGACGGCGATTGTTCTAACGTCTGTCAATAGCTTTCGGCGAGAAGGAAAGAGAAAGAAAGAGAGAGAGAGAGAGAGAGAGAGAGAGAGAGAGAGAGAG